TTCATTTTAGTCTAATAAGCTTTCAAATCTATAGCTATCTATCTATATATGTTCCTTTTCTCACTAGTATTTTAAATTCTATACCACTGACTGGATTAATGATGCTATTATTAGAAATATCAAGTGCCCCCTCCAGGTTACCTACATTATTTCTCAAGAAGCTGATACCCCTGCCTGTATTGTTCTCAAACTTAAGAACGATTGTGAGGCTGGCCTAGAATCGGACAGCGTTTCCTTCTGTTGTACAAACAGAATGAGTCAGAATCAACTCACCAGCACTTAACGACAACGAAGTGACCAGGAATGTATATGAACCATAGATATATGAATGAATTTTTGAGTTTGCACTTAATCTTAAATCTTAATTTAAGAACAATTAGCTCCTAACATTTGGCCCCACTCAATACCTGCTCTCAGGAAGTGATCAATGAAGAAATAGGTGCTCCAGCAAAGTATGGTAAAGAAATCCGCTCGTACCCGTTTATTAGAAAGAATACTGCCTGGGGCCTTAAAGGCTTCTTTAAAAACAAGCTGCCATCTAAGTGCACAAAGAAGCTCATTTGATCCAAGAATCGCAAAAATAAAATCCAAGACCAGAGGAAAGAAACTGTGTTACAGCTTAAATTCTGAACACCTGGTTCGCAGAAGGTTCCGAATGGCAGTGAAGGCCTTAAATCCATTTGCAGAGGCTCACTGAACTCGCTTAGGCCATTTGACCAAATATGTGAATAGTTTTGTCCTCAGAGTGGAAAATGGATTACTGAAAACATAGTTAACTTAAATTTAACATCGTACTTGTTTTCCCCTTGATTCATTTTTAACTGGGCTTTCTACTGCAATAAACAGCTGTACTTCGAAACCCACATGGGATCGCTGAGTCAGCAATGACTTGATGGCAGTGAATCTAAGTTTTTATTATTTTTAAGTTTTTATGTGTACTGTTTTTTGTTGTTGCTAATGGGTCTTTTTGTATGAAATTCAGGATAAGTAAATCTAGAGAAAGTAACTAGTAGATTCTTAGGGTTATGATTGGGATGGTAGGTTATGATTGGGATGGTTAGGTAGAAGTAGAGAGATAATAACAATGGATATTTCTAGGTTTCCAATTCTGTTCCACTGATTTATGTGCATGTCCTGTACCAATACAAGAACAAGTAATTTTGATTACCATAGCTATGTAGTGGTAGGTCTTAAGATCTGGATATGTGAAACCTTCAACTCTGTTCTTTAGAAGTTTTTTTCCCATATAAAAATGGTGAAGTTTTTCCATCTCTTTAAAGAAAAACATTCGAATCTAGATCAGAATTGTATTCTATCTGTAGATTGCATTGGGTAGTAGTGATATTTTTACAATGTTAAGGTTTCCTATGCATGAGTATTGTATAGTCTTCCATTTATGTACCGTATATACTCAATTATAAGCCGACCCGATTATCAGCTGAGGCACCTAATTTTGCCACAAAAACTGCATAAAAATGTTCTGACAAGGAAGAGACAGCCAGTCAGGGTGTAGAATTGCACCAATGAAACATACAACTTTCCTCTAGTTGTTGAATGCTTCCTCCCCCCACTATCACGATGCCAATTCTACCTTACAAATCTGGCTAGACCAGAGGATGTACACTGGTACAGATCAGAGCTGGAAACAGGGAATCCAGGAGAAATAAATCTCTCAGTGCTAATAATGTGTGTAGCAATACCAGGAGGGTAAGGGGAGGGTGGTGGAGAAAGAGGGAACTGATCACAGTGATCTACATATAACCCTCTCCCTGGGGGATGGACAAAAGAAAAGTGGGTAGAGACCCCCGACAGTGCAAGACATGAAAAAAATAATTTATAAATTATCAAGGGTGAGTGAGGGAAGGGGGAAATGAGCTGATACCAAGGGTTCAAGTGGAAAGAAAATGTTTTGAGAATGATGATGGCAACAAATGTACATATCACAATGGATGTATGTGTGGATTGTGATAAGAGTTGTACGAACCCCCAATAAATTTTTTTTAAATGTGCTGAAAAACTCAGCTTATACACGAGTATATACAGTAGGTCTCTTGCTTAACTATAGTAATCTTTGTGTAGTTTTCTTTGTATAAGTTTTTTGTTCCTTATGTTCTTCAAGTCTTAATAACGGTTCAACTTTTCCACCTATATGTTACTTTGGAAAAAGTTAAGTCCTCACAAAGGCATAAATTTTACTTCCTACTTACTGATAAAAGGAGCTGTGGAGAAACTAAATCATTCCAGTGTTGACTACCACCTTGTTCCATGCTTTTTATACAATAAACCAAACCTGCTTGGGCCGAGTCAATGCTTACTTTTAATACCTTGATAAAACAAAATAGAACTGCCATGTAGTTTCCAATGCTGTAAATTTTTACAGAAGCAGACTAATACATCTGTCTCCCGTGAAGCTGCCGGCGGGTTCAAATTGGTTGGCGTTGTAGGCAAGTGCTTTAAACACCTGGGTTCCTTTTTTGTATGACAGGAAGAACTATGACACATAACCTGGGGAAAGGTGAGTGTGAGAATGATCGAGATGCACAGATCCATTCATACACTCCTTCAACGAAGATGGCCCTACCTGGAAACCGCTTCCTCACAGGATTATAGAACAAGGGACAGAGGTGTCCAATTGGTTCATATTGAACAAAATAAAAAAACATGGAGATCTCACACTGAGCTATCAAGATAAAAAGTGTAAATCTGCCAAAATGAGTGTCTGGATGACTAGCCTGCCATCACATTTCTCTTTGCAGCAGCCAGGAAAATAAGTTGTTGATCTAAATACGGTAGCGCCTTTATTTTTACTTTATACCAGTCTCAGATTGAACTGGAGAGTGTCATGCAGAGCCTACACACCAAACCTTAATCATCAGTGGTCTATATGAACAAGTAACACTGGCAGATAGCAGGTGTTCAATAAATGACTAATAAATAGAAATGTTCACTTACTTCTGAATACTTCCAGTGTTTTTTGGACGATTCTTATTTTTCTTTTGTGACTTGACTGTGACTGGATTAGACTTCCTGGAATTCAAAGGAGAATCCAAGACACTTTTCTCACAGAAATTGTTCTGCAATGACAGGAAAAGCATAAGAAACATGAAAGAAAATATTGCAAAAAATAACTCAATTTGACTAATTAATCCAAGATCCATGGTAGAATTTTTAAGAATTATAATCACACTTACATTCTATTCAACCTTTGAAAAATATTGACTCTGCAAAAATTAGTATAAACAAGATTAAGTTAAAAAAAAAGATGAAGTTCATCCAAGTTGGTCTAAATTAGCCCCATTTTTCTATGTATTTTTAAGCATAAGAAGTGCACATACTGAATATATTACCTGATAATTTATGATGATCGGCTATTTCACGTCAAAACTACCCTATGCAGAGGCTCCTATGAAGACCTATATTGCTTTCAGGATTAAAAACAGCATAAACTAATGTAAGTGCAAACACAAGTTAATGCAAGACTGGTTAGAAATGTTTACGACCAGTCAGCATTGTGCTAGTTTTTCTAATAAATGAAATCATCCCCTATCATTATAACTACCTTAAATCTATAGAAGATCACTCAAGAACTATGCCAGGAATAAAGTTTATTTAAAAATTTTAATTTGGGGCTTTAAGAAGCATACCAGTAAAATCACAGATATACCACTCTCTTTTTAAGTTTTTTACTATGCAATCGAAAAAGCTCATATAAATAGCCTTAGATCACCAAATTTTCGTTAGCTAACCAAATTATTCTAAAGTATGAAGAAATTTACTCGTAATTTCACACAAAAATAAGCAGGATTAAATACTGGCTCTTTAGAGATAGATAACCCTAAGTAAATTAATAAAACCAAAATCTGCTGCCTCTTTGATCCTGACTCACAGTGGTCCTAAAGCGCAGAGCAGAACTGCTCCCCAGGGTTTCTGAGGCTCAGGACTGTTACAGCAGCAGACTGCTACAGCTTTCTCCTGTGGAGACGCTGCGGAGGTACAACAGCCCAAACTCTTATCGGCACCAAGTGCTTTAGCCACTGTGCCACCAAGACTCTATAACACAACAAACAAAAGAAATCCACCACCATCGAGTCGTGATAGGTAAAGCTGACCCTAATTTCTCATTTACATTTTTCCCTACTTCCATTTGTTCTTCTACTGGTCGCTGTCATTTAACTTCCTAATTATGTACCACTCTAAAACGATCCTAGTCAAAATTTAAAAAATTTTATTGGGGGTTCTTACGGCTCTTTTAACATTAACTGTATCAAGCACATTTGTACATATGTTGTCATCATCATTTTCTAAACAATTTATTTCTGTTTGAGCCTTTGGTATTAGCTCCTCTTTTTCCCCTCATTCCCCCACCCTCGTGAACCCTTCATAAATTATAAATTATTATTATCTTCATCATATCTTACACCGACCACTGCGATCGGAAACCCCCTTTCTCCCTACCCTCTTGGTATCACAACTCCCATATCTGTTCCTGAGGGGGTTATCTGTCTGGATTCTGTGTGTCGAGAGCTCTTGTACCAGAGTATACATTTCTGGTCCAGCCAGATACATAAGGTAGAGTTCGGGTCACGATACTGGGGGTGAGGAAGCCTCAAGGAACCAGAGGAATATTGTGCTACACTGCACCCTAGTTGACTCATCCCTTCTGTGTGACCCTTCTGTAAGGCGATGTCCAATTGTCTATAGATGGGCGTTCGCATCAATATGATTGTTTGTTTTGGGTCTTCTGATGCCTGATAACCTGATCCATCGACATCTCATAATCACACAGGCTTGTGCCCTTCTTCCATATGGACTTGCTGCTTCTCTGCTAGATGGCCACTGGTTTAATTTCAAACCTTTAAGACCCCAAATGCTATATCTTTTGACAGACAGGCACCATCAGCTTACTTCACTACATTTGCTCATGCACTCATTTTGTCTGCAGCAATCGTGTCAGGAGGGTGAGCATCACAGAAGGCCAGGTTAATAGAACAAAATGTTCTTGCATTGAGGGAGGGCTTGAGTAGAGACCCAAAGCCCCCCACTTCCTCAGTATATTGTGATACAGATATATGTACATAGGTCAATACCTCTATTTTTATGAATTAATACATTTACATATGTACACAACTATGTTTCTACCTCTATTCATAGCTTTGCTTCATAGACCTTAACTCTTTTTGCTTTTTCCTTCCTCCTGCCCCACTATCATGCTCACCCTTCATTTGCCCCTCAGTAATTCCCCTGGGTAGATTACTGTTGCTCCAACACCACCAGGGCCCCTATACCCCACCTCACCATTGATTTTAATTCCCTAAGTGTTCCCCTGTCCATGGCATTGTTTGCTCACTGCTCCTTGCCCCCTGCCTTCTCCTGCCCACAGTCCCCCGGGAACCATCGGTCAGTCCCACTGCTTTCTCCTTGGGCTTGCTTCTCATACCTACCTTATATAGGCAGACAAAACAAAAAGAAAACAGAAGATCGAAGATTAAAAAATATCCATCCATAATTCCACGTCTGTCTGCTGACCTTAATGACTATCTCCCCACCAGTCCTGGGGAGCTCTGGGTACTGCCCCTCCTAACCTGTCTATTCAAAAGATGAATTTTTAAAAGGTAAATAATCTACAACTTGAGTATATTATGAATGTCAGTCCTCTAAAAAGGGAAAAATTTTAAAAATCCCTATGCTGGTTAAGAATGCTTTAAATATTGTTTAAAAGCATAGTCGTAGTTTATGGAAGCTCTCACATGAGCGCATTTAGGACTGAGTGCATGCCCCTCGAGGCTCTGAAGCTGGCATTCTGAGAGCCCCTCCCCCTAAGACTCTGACTCAGTAGACTGAGAACTTGTAATTTGAAAAAACAGCCCAGGCAATCCTGCCAGGCGCTTTGAAAGCACTAATTCCCATTTTATCTTCTGCCATTTAAAATATGTAATTTATCATCTGTCCTTAAAATGTACAGCCTTAGAAACTCTATGGGGCAGTTCTACTCCATCCTATAGCCTTGAGTCAGAATTCAACTTGATGGCAACAGATTGGTTGGAAGAATAGGAGAATTTCGTGTTTCATGTCAAGTGATATATACATTAATACAATGGAATATTATACCACCCTTTGAAGAATTTAAATAGATTATATGTTGTAGTATGAAAAAAACTCTAAGTTTTA